GATGAGAAGTAAGTTAGCAATAGGCTAGTTAGCATAACATCTGTCATTGGGAAAACCTTAGGGTCTGTTATAAAGGATTTAATATCAGAATATTTACAAAGATATAATATAATCCAGCAGAATCAGCACGACTTCATGAAGGGCAAATTGTGTTTGACAAATTTATTATAGTTCATTGAGGTAGTGACAAACGGGATAGATAAAGGGGGAACCAGTTGATGTAATATACTTGAATTTCCAAAAAGGCATTTACATGGTCCTGCAGATAAGGCAACTTAAAAGGAGGCTATAGTTTTGGGGATAGCATGTTAGTACATATAAAGGATTGGTTAATGGATAGAAGGCAGAGAGTTTGTATAAGGGTGGCATTTTCAGGATGACAACTTGGAGTGCCACAGGTATCAGGGCTGGATCCACAGATATTTACACCATACAATAATGACTTGTACGAAAGTGAACGTAGAATAACCAAATTTGTCACTGACACAAAGAATAGGTGGGAAGGCAAGTAATGAGGATGAGTGAAAGCTCCTATTGAAGCCTACAGGCAGGTTAAGCAAGTAGACAAAACTGTGGGCAAATTAGATAGAACATAACTTCGGAAAAAGTGAGTTAATATACTTTAACAGGGAGAATGGAAGAGCTGAATGTTACTTTAATGGGAAAAGACTGCAGAGAGCTACTGCACAGAGGGATTTGGGGGTCCTTATGCATGAATCACAAAAAGCTAGCATTCAAGTTCAATGGTAAGATGGAAGACAAATAAAGTTGTCTTTTACTTCAAATGGAATCATAGAACCCTCTACAATGTGGAAACAGATCATTTGGCCCATTGAGTCCACGCTGACCCTCTGAGGAGTATCCCACCCAGACCCTCATTCCTCCCTCACCACCCTATCCTTGTATTTCCCATGACTAACCCATCTAGCCTGCACATCCCTGGACAATTTAGCATGGCCAAACCATCTAACCTGCATACCTTTGGACTGCGGGAAGAAATCGGAGCACCCGGGGGGAAACCCATGCGGACATGGGGCAAATGTGCAAACTCTACACAGACAGTCGCCCGAGGCTGGATTTGAGTCCCTGGTGCTTTGAGGCAGCAGTGCTAACCACTGAGCCACCATGCTTTTAAAATCAGGAGGTCTTGCTAAAGCTGTACAAGACACTAGTCAGACTACATCTGGAATACTATGCACAGTTTTTGGTCCCCTTATTTGAGCATACATGTCCTGACATTTGGGGCAGTTCAGAGAAGGTTCACTGGGTTGATAGCAGGTATGGGGGGATTGTTTATAAGCAGCAGTTGAGTTAGTTGTACTCATTGGAACTTAGAGGAATTAGAGATAATCTTATTGAAACACATAAGATACTTAGGGGGTTTGACAGGGTATCTGAGGAAAGGTTGTTTCCTTTTTTGGGTGAGTCTAAGGCCAGCACATGTAATCTCAGAGTAAGGGATCATTCATCTGAGACAGATGACAAGGATTTTTTTCATCAGACTGTGGTAAATCCGTGGAATTATTTACCTCAGTAGGCTGTCAGGGCGTTAGGATATTCAAGGCTGAGATATACAGGTTTTTAAGTTATGGCGAAAAGGCAGGAACATGGAGCTGAGGATTATCAGATCAGCCATGATCTTATTGAATGGGAGAGCTGACGCATGGGTCTACTTCTGCTCTGATGTCATGTGGTCTAAAAGATTGTGGTGTCGATGCCTTAAAATTAAAAAAACAGGCCAATTGTAATGGTTTTGTTATAGTTTTGAGCCTAGAAAACAGCTTTCTTTATACTACACATCTCAGTTCATTGGATTGCCCCAATCCATGGTCATTATGTTGTTTGGAACAAATGTATATTTGTGCTCCATTTCTTCTGCTGTTTATTTTTAATGAAAACAGACAACACTTGACCTAATGTCAACACGATCTTGGTTGAAGAGGGATCTCAAAAAGACAAGGTAAGTAAAACTAAACACCATTTGTGTCATGATACTTGATTTATTAAGAACACCCAGTTCCAAAACATATTTTTTTAATGTTTATGTAGCTTTTCTTTTAATACTTTGGCTTCTAAACTATTGCCGTTATATACACAAAGCAAAATTTTTGTTGTGTTAAATGGTACACCATGAGAAAATACATATATTTACAAAGTGCAAAAATAAGGCATATATGAATACAGAAAGAATTTAGCCCACAGGGTTGGTCAAAGTACCAATGACTCTTTGAGGCAGTTTGATATGGTGGTCATCTTATACCAATGGGCTGTTGCTCCCTACATTATTCTCGATTGTCATCGTGAAACACTGTGCTCTCGATGGCTTTTTTAGCAGTGAAAATTTGAAAACCTGATCATATTTACTGAAGGCAGATACTGTTGTTAGGTCATGAAACAGGTTAGATCTTTGAATATCTAAAAGGAAATCTCCTTAGGTCTCATTTCACATGAAATCTTTTGTGGGATGCTTAGCTCAGAAAGCAGGCAGCACAATTTACATTTGCTTAAGTACTGGAAGTTGGGAATTATTCATTTTGTACAAAACATCTTGCAAGTTAACATGCCACCGGGTTATGGTCCAACAGGTTTACTTAAAGTCGCAAACTTCCGTAGCACTGCTCCTTCATCAGGTGAAGTGCACTTCACCTGACAAAGCAGCAGTGCTCAGGAAGATTGTGATTTTACATGAACCTGTTGGACAACAACCTGGTGTCGTGGGACTTCTGACTTTGTCTACCCTAGCCTAACATCTCCATATCATGTTAATATGCTGCATCCTGTGCTCAGGGCAACCTCGCTGTAAATCTCTTTGGTGTATTTCATTACAATGGCAGGATACAGGTTTCACCAAGCCCTACAACTCTGACTCCTTATGCTCCTAGCCCTTTGTAACAGGAGGTCTGCAGAGGCAAGACACTTCTTCTGAGGCAAGCACAATAGAGAAAGGCCATTAATGGCACCAGCCTAGGAGCTGCGTAAGGAAAATCAAAGGTAAAGGAAAGAAAAGAGGGCAGTAAATAGCAAAACAAAAACTGTCATATTTTGAATTGTCCAATTTAATTTTTTGGTATTTACTATAAACAACTTTATGTGCTTTTAATGATGCATAGTAAAATTCAATACACCAATAGCAACACTCTGGAAGTTGTAGTGTGATTTTTGTACCAATTAATTGTTCAATAAGAGGCAGATCTCCAGTTTCCCTAGCTGCTCAATTCCATACTTGCATGTAAAACCCCATGTAACATATGACTTATCACTGGATTTGAAACAAATGAGTTCATTTTAAATGTGAGAACCTTGAGAGTTTTAACTTACAGCGATTTTTGCCACAGATAGAGGTCAGGTCATGGAGAGGTGGAGCTGGGCTTCTTTTACCCCATGTGATGACTTCAGGTTTAATATGCAAGATATTTGGTGAACAATTTCACAGGTAACAGTTTGGTCATATGGATTTGAAAGTTGGAATTCTGATCATGCCTCTTTATCTTGATGCAATCAAAAGTAACATGCAAGCTGCAGTTTTACATCAGCAATATTACCACATCGTATACACTGCTTGTCAATTCTGATTGGGTGACACTGATAAAACACGTGCATAGAGAATGTCTAATAACGGGCAGACTCTATAGGATTAAGGAAGGAAAAATATCAGAGAATAAGTCAACTGGTGATGCCCTAACATACTTCCGATGCTCTATCTGAATATAGATTGCCTATCTCTGGAATGGCACAAGCCTCTAGTATGATCAGCCAACACCCAGGAAGAGAAAATAATTTTTGAATGGGTAGATAACTTAGTTCCAATTGAAGAACCACCACAATCATGTACAATATAAAATATTGTATATTTTGCACAAAAACAAAGTGGCTGGTAAAGCTCAGCAGGTCTGGCACCATCTGTGAAGGAAAAAACAGAGTTAACATTTTGGGTCTGGTGACCCTTCCTCAGACTTAAGTTCTGAGGAAGGATCACCGGACCCGAAACGTTAACTCTGTTTTTTCCTTCACAGATGCTGCCAGACCTGCTGAGCTTTTCCAGCAACTTTGTTTTTGCTCCTGATTTACAGCATCCGCAGTTCTTTCGGTTTTTATATTGTATGTTTTGCGCCTTTTATGGTGTGGAGGTGAAATAAGCTGCAACGGGAAAACAAGGCATCAAGATTATTGTTGAGGTGCAATCACATTGAGGTTTCCTTGCATGGTTCCAATGGTTTTCACATCATTTGCTCCTTGACCTGATGAACCAAGAAAGGAGAGTGAGCTTAGTAAGGGGTGGTGAGTTGTCGTCTTGGCAATGTGATACCTGAGTAAGACAGATCAGCGGTATAACTCACTGCTGTTGTTGTTTTACCAGGGACTCACTGATGTTGCTAGGAAGAGTAGGTTTCTTTCCAGATTGGAAGACTGTTCATTCAGCTCAAGTTAAATCTGCAACAAACACTCAGTTCATTTGTTTCAGAGGTAGTAGAAACTGCAGATGCTGGAGAATCTGAGATAACAAAGTGTAGAGCTGGATGAACACAGCAGGCCAAGCAGCATCAGAGGAGCAGGAAGGCTGATGTTTCGGGCCTAGACCCTTCTTCAGAAATGG